TTTTAACTTTGTTTCTGATACTTTTTAGCACTTTTGTTATTTCACACATGCGCACTGGCTAATAAGTCGATACAGGGCGGCTCTGCCCACTTTTTGAAGGATTTTCTGCAAATTTCGACCGGTTATTTCTGTCAGCGTCGATAGTTTGAAATCCTTCATAAGGGAATTACTTACAGACGCGCATTCACGCACTGCTACATAGAGCTCCACCCTTAAAACCACACCCTTTCCGCTTTTCGCAAATTTTTGATCTTTTCTCCAATTTTTTTTTACATTTTTGGACGGGTAGTGGAAGCCCAGTCCACGTCGACCATTTTTCTCCGTGAGAAACTCCGTCCTTTCTGTAGCACCTCGCGCACTTTCGGAAAATGCTTCAAATCATCAGCAGATTAAATATGTCTAGTGTGGCAGGTTCAACCAAGTCGTGAGCTTTCTTTGAAAATTTGTGAATTTAAAATTAAAATGATATGGTAACAGCAGCTCCTGACGCTATGTGCCTCAGGAGGGGTCACTCTCCAAGAACGCCCAGCGAAACAATCTTCTGACATGACCAAGTCACACTGTCCTTCAACTAGATGAGAGGGTGAACACAGAAACATGTGAGGCGGCCTGACCCCCTTGGAGAATGACCACTCGTAAGCACATGAGCCCGACCAACTTCACTTAATTTAGCGAAGCCATAAAAGAATTCTAACCTAAATCCACATGTGCAAATATTTGCTTGTTCCAAGGCAAATCCACTCCATGAGCCGATCTGAGCTTGCTGCACATGAGCAGGCATTCGTAGTACATCCGGTGGAGTGATGTACAAACCCAGTTCCCTATAAGTAAATATGTAGCAAAACGACATGGGAATTAACTTACTGTAAGAATCCGAAAAAATTCATTAAGAGAAAATTAAAAAATTCGACAACACCTTGCGCGAATTGAAGTATTACAGGAGCAAATAGGGCATGCGTCAAAGACGGAGTCAAAGTGAAGATCAAGAATGGTGTCCTGAAATTGACATTGTTCAGGAAAGATTCAAATCGAAAATTTAATCTTATTTATTTTATAGTCATGTCAAAGAACATGTCTACGGAATAAATAATCGTAATATGGTGCTGTCCCGGAGCCTCATTGTAATCTGAACATGAAACACGTGAAAGAGGCGCCAAAAAATTTATTGCAAAAAACTCAAAAGACTCAAAAGAATCCAAAAGTTCTAGTGTTGAGTCAACACTAGAAGTCGCACTTTTGCAAGGAGCGGCGGAGGCTATATTGGAGGCAGAAGACCAGATCGCTGAGGAAGGTGCTAGGCACCGAAATATTCGAAGGAAGTATTAGAAACAAAAATTTTTGCAAGAACTTTTGGATTCTTTTGAGTCTTTTGAGTTTTTTGCAATAAATTTTTTGGCGCCTCTTTCACGTGTTTCATGTTCAGATTACAATAAAATTGAATTTCGTAACTGCATTCCTGTATTGGAGGTGCAAGTATCGACGCCGGTGAGGAAGATGTAGCAATGTCCTTTACTGGAGTAGTGCGAGGTGTGAGGTTACCTTGTCGAGAGTGATTGGTGCCAAGACCCGCGCCGGAAGCGGGCTGAGCCCCCTCTCAGCGAAGCACGGGCGCCCTACGTGCAGCTTCAGGACCCCGAGGACTGCGCAGGCCCCGAGGGTTGGGGTCGCCGAAACGTGGCGGGCAATTACCCCCGATTGAAGCAGCTGGACGGCGTTGCTCCAACCCATACAGACTCGTCCTCGAACCTACGGCATCCCGGATCTGTGAAGGGCATCATCTAGACACAAATATCGGTAAAGTAAGTCCTCCAGTCTCAGTAAAACGATACGATACACAAAATAGAGGGATCACTTTAACAGGCACGTTGGCCACGAATGGTTCTGCTACCCCCCTCCTAGCCCCTAAAATGCGTAGTAGGGCGCTGTATAGTGGGGAAATGGCGAAAGAACGGAGTGAAACGGTCAAAATCCGGCGAAGAAAAAGCCTCCGTTCTCAGTGACTTGAAAATCGATTTCGGACGAGTTTCCCGTAGGCATCTTACCAATCACCGCTACCGAAGATACGGCTGCATATGTGTACCCATGTATGCATGCAGCATCACGGCCGCTTCATACCAATCCCTTCGCTTCATAATTTGCTTAGCAAATGAATGAATACGAGCGTCAGGAACGGTCGTCCATTTGTGGGCGGGCGTTTGGGACGTAAAGTTGTGGCTTGATAGGGCCCTTATAAGGGCACCTTCCTCGGGGAAACCGCTATGCAGCGCCTGCCCAGGGTCGCGGAATTCTATCCTGCCAGGAGTATTGATCCTAGTCGTCTTGGGGGATTTATCGTGCCAACTGCCTTTAAGATAACACTGTAATCTACGAATATGAAACCTGAAACCTAATTACTAGTACTGTATATACCTGCTGCATCATTTGCATTTGTCGCATGTGCGGTGGTTGAATCGGCTGCATCTGATTCATTGAGCCATATGCAGGAGGCGGACCAGGGGCTCCAGGATAAGCGGGTGGCGCGTTCGGATGAGGAGCACCCATCATGTTTGATGCTGAAGGCCCATATCCACCCATCATAGGTGGCACTCCGTACCCACTTGTAGGGCAGGATGGCATCATCGGCATCTGAAACTGCACGAAACACTAGTGAAGCCGACCGAAACCCTATGTTCAAATAAACCAACTTGTCCGGGACCGCCAGTGTACATTGGTTGGCCCATAGGTTGTCCCATTGACATGTTCCCCATAGGATGATGTGGATTCATCTGTCCATTTCCAGCATTGAACATTGGGCCATGAACGAAATTGTTCAGCTGCTGAACTGAGTTCGGTGGTGGCATCATGGCACCATAAGGACCAGAAGTAGGAGCATATGGTGGACCGATAGGCCCTGGACCTGTTCCTACTGGTGTTCCCATTCGACCACCCATCATTGGCGGAGTGCGAATCTGAAACGCAGAAATTTTTACTTTTTTTATACCACTTCCATTTTAAGTCCACGACTGCTGGAACAAAATTCACGACTTTCCGAATCAAATGCAAGACTCGTTTAAAAATGCCACACTATACGCTACTAAGCCCCTCCCCCGGCTCACATTTCAGCATGGTCGTGATTTTTCAATTTTTTTTTATAATCTCTGCTTCTATGACTATTGTTGCCCTTCATTTATTCCGCACATGCACTCTGATTGAAAGGACTGCACATCGACAAGGGGGACTCCGCACACTTCGTGGAAGCCCTGCACTTTCGCGAACTGTCCGAATCAGCAGGATAGAGTCCCATCTGGTGGGTCGAAATCTCGCTCAACACTCGGTACGAGGCAGGGTATGCACCGAGTGATGAGCGAGACTCTGACCTACTAGCTGAAACTCTAACCTGTCGAGCTGGACATTCTTTTGAAGTGGGCAGGGCTTCTATAAAAAGCCGAGCTTTGTACATGGGCGGGCCACCTGTAGCAATCCAAAACGTGGAAGTGAATACGCAAAATGGACGTGGAGAGGGTTTAGTTCGACGTGTCAGTGTCATAAATACGCACTCATGAGTACTTCCGTTTTATGAAAGTGGACGTGAAACTAAAGATGTTGAAGAAAAAGTTGTGAAAATTTCGAATTCCAACCATTTGTCAAAAGGTGGGTTCAGTTTTGTTCCGATGTTCAGTCCTTTTCAGTTAGTGTATACGCGCGAAATATCAAAAATGCAAAACAGTAACAGAAGCAGGAGTTTTGAAATAAAATTCGAAAATCATGACTACGCTGAAATGTGGGCGTGTTTGGCGTTTATCTGAGTTTCGGATTCGATCTGGGAAGTCGTGAATTTGGTAAAACTTGTTATTCAAAAAGAAAATCGTATATCAAGTGTCCTACTAATCAGATACTCACCTGAGATGCTGGAAACTGTTGAATATGATGTGATTGCGGGGGTTGCATTGACGGCATCTGCATGTGCGGAGTATTTGGTGTCATCCCACCCGGTATCGGTCCAAACGTGGGTTTGTAATTGTTTGCATTCGAAAACGCTGTCACAGTTACGGGGTTAATATGCGATGAAGCAGCAGATTGAACGGATGACGAAAACTGCGAGGTGTAGAGCGACTCCGAGTGTTTTGGAACGCGTTTCTCCATCAGCCGTACGAGTTTCTGATAGTCAGGAGGCATATGCAAAGGAGCGCGACGACTTGACAGAGTGGCGCATAACACCCGAACATCTGCTGCTGGACTGAATCGTGTTGACGATGGGACAAGCCTTTTCCGGAGATGACCGCTTACAGGAAGTAATTCAACACGTTTCAAGAGTTTGCCCTGCAAAGAATAAAGATAGGTTCCGAATAAAATAAAAATGAACGAGCTCTAAAAGAAACAATGAAGACCAACCATCTTGCTTTCCAGGGGTACGAGATCAATGATATCATCTTCAGGATCGACATTCTCTTCAAAATAATCCTCCTTCACCTCCTTGATGTTCGGTTTCGGTTCTTCAGCTTGCGATGAGGGTGCCACACGCTGATTTGATGCCGACATTTGAGGACCTGACAGCGTGTGTACTCCAGTATCCATTACACCTGCCTAAAAAGTCTTCAGCTAAGATACAATAAAAACTGAGCGTACAAAGGCATGGTACAGCATCGTGATGTGTAGAAGGGGGTGTGGTACCATCCCCCTCCCGCTCCGAATTTCCACAACTGGAACATACCGCTGTTTATCCTACCTACTATCTTCTTGAAATTTTCGCAACCTCCTACCTTTTTTCCAGTCCCCAGAAAGTCTTCCAACTGCCCCCCCCCGCGCGCTCAAAAAAAAAGAAACTGACGCCGGGCGGTAACAGGCCGCAACCAATATACTATTAATTCCTCGTCTTCAAAAATAGCATTAATTGCAGGGTAGTTCTTCGACGGCGGCAACCGGGGAGGGGGGGGGGGTAAAGCGAACAAGGAATGGTGAAACCGCGAAGAGTCAACAACCGAAAAATTTTCCGGAGACAAAAATACTTTCTCTAATGCAAATGTGACCCCCAGCGACCAAATACGACCCCCTCTCCCAGATGATACTCTTCCACGATGCTGTATCCTGACAGCTGATCAAAAACAATCAATTTATTTTGCGACACCTTGGATAGAATCGCGTGCAAATGATGCAAATCACTGAAAGTATGAAGAAAAGCTCCAAAAACCTACATGTTGCGCCTGTGTAAGCTGATGTTGCATAACATGCTGTTGATGTGGTGGCAGCATTGGAGCAGGGCTAAACTGTTGCGCTTCAGACTGAACACTGGGAGGCGTTGGATAAATATGGTTCATCGAGGGATCACCACATGATGGCGGTCCACCTATTCGTGGCCATGCCCCATAATTTATCGACATCTGAACAAAGTATTGCGCTATCAAAGCAACCAAGTGTTCCACGAATCTGAAACGACATAACACTTACGGCAGCACAAACATCCGGTCTTTCATTGCTCGCGGGAGGTGACAGCAAATTCATGCTATCTGTTGGCCCACCTACCACAGCTTCGTCTACCTCCATAGCCTCGTCAGAAGATCGCATAAGGTGAGTCTCCACGAGGCCTGGTGAATGGCTTAGTCCCGAAGGGCCTTCGCCTAAACATTAGATTTTTTTGCGAAACATCCAAGTAAGGCCTGCTAATAGGAGCAAATAGAAACCTATAGCTCTTGTCTCGTCACCATCAGAAGAACATGAAGGTTCCTCGAAATCCAGTTCCGAATCGGTTTCACATGTGGGAGTAATGCGACCAGCATAGGGCGATACCCTCGCTTCCATTTCTTCCTAGAAGAAAGCAGATTGTAATGAAAGTGTATGACAAGAAACTCCTCCCTTGAGTCGTTTAAAAATGAACTTGAACTTACCCCAATAGTTGTAGACAGCAAAGCCATGTCGAGCGAGTCCAAATCGGGCCACTCCACCTTCTGCCCTTTCTTTCTCGTTCGCTTTTTCGAGGGTACTTGTACATCAGGCTGAAAAATTGCAGTGAAGACCAATACAGCGTATAAAATTATTAATGGTGACAAACCCTATTTTTCAAATCCAAATCGGTCACGGTTTTAGCCATTGTGATGCTTGGATCCGCTTCCGGAGCACGTCGACGATGTTCATCCATTTCGGGTGGCGGTGATGTTGTAGCAGGAATCTAAGTTACAGTATATACATCGGAAAGGAAAACCATAAGTGCGAACTGTATCCAATTTCCAGACTTACAGTTTCTTGGCTTCCTGGCTGCTCAGGGCTAACTGGTAACTTGATGCTGGGAGGATAATTACAGCGACGCTTTTCACCAGTCCTTCTACTGTGATAAGACATATAGTACGGGTCTTCCCGCATTGTGGGATTATAATAGCAGTTGTAGTCGCGCTGACGTTCCTCTTGACTTGCAGTCGGGGGAACACGAGATGTGCTGAAAATCCTCTGTTATTTGGTCCCGCAACAGTTCAACGTGGAAAGTATCCAGGATGAAATACAAGACATAACCGAAAAGCAAACCAGAGCTGAACAGATGGGGTGATGATGAGGCGCAGTTTCAACGGGGGGAATTTTGTACTATCACTGCTTCCCTGGTACTGATTTACAAGTCTTCTGGCGAAACCTGTGAACTCTTGTGAAGCTGGAGCAAGCTCATCTAGCCATCATGGTAAAACCTGTCAACTCGAGAAGAGGCTGCCTAGATAGGTCGACACGTCGATGGGAAGTAGCGAAAGTGCAAAATGCCCCCCCCCCCTCCCCCGTCGTCAAACTGCACCTGATTATGATTGTCCGCGGTGTGAGGAAGGAAGGAGTAAGCTCGCCTACGGCTGCTCTTTCATGAAGTACAGAGCTGACAGATCTCATAACGACAAAATACCGACCTGCTGGGCTGAAAAATTTGGTTGAAAACAGCTTCCGGAATCTGGTCAGCTGGAGCACTGGGCCACGCACAATTGGTACAAGGCGAAACCACCTGAAAGTTGAAAACTTAGCAGGTTAACCTTGCAGTGTAATAAAGTTACCTTTATCGGTGTGAACGGACTGCAGGCGAGGTTTTCGTCATCGCTTGAGTTGCACGGCGTTGCTACACCAAAATGGTAACTGAAAGATATCTAGTAACGACATGTCGAACGCTGCGGATCCTCCAGCGCGGGAGGGGGGACGTTTTTGGTTGTGGAGGGAGGGAGACTTGCATTTGCCCTTGAAAAAAAAATGTTTATTTGCTTTTTTTCCTGTTTCAAAAAGCGCTATGAATCCCCTCTGGGCTGGCGGCAACCTCTTGGGAAGAAAAAACTTCGGGAAAGTGCTACGAAAGTGGGAAAATTTAGGAAGATAGGCTCAGGACAAGGAATGGGAAAGGAGCTAACAGAGGAAGAAGTTTCGAAGTGGGGTTGCATCACAGTGTAAGCTTCGAAGTCAAATTTTGCAAAAATTCCCCGACAGAAGGACCTGCCTGTAACCAAATCGCAAAAAGTAAAATGCTCAGAAGATCGACTGACCTTGCATCGTCGGCACTGCAATAGATGCCGGTAACAAGGCTCTGCTTGTTTGTGTCAGCCCAGGCGGGTGTGCCGCTAATCTCGTCATCAGATGAGTCCTGCTCACTTCCTACTGATTCGCTTGGAGAGATATTGTCATCCACTGGGTCAGCATTCACTGGAAACCGGCGATGGTAGGAATGCCTGAAACAAGTGTTCGCGACAAGAGCCTTGTGCAAGTTCACCTATCAGGAGGCCTAACTCACTTGGTACGACGCTTGCTTTGCCTCTTCATAACCGTATACAGTGGATTCGTTTTCACCATTCCAGGTCTCGATGCAACTTTAATAGGAGCAGCAAGTGGGCAATCGACGACAGGTTCACGTTCGAGAGAAGCCAGGTATTCCTCAGAGGGTTGTCGTGTACAGTTGTCGCAAGAACAGGAGTCACTTTTGCTTATATCCACAAAATTCCACCTGAAACGTCATTTTGGACTTTATCTGTTTATTGCTCTCCGCTCTAACGAGAACAAAAGCGTTCGCTGTAGGGTAAACAAATGGCAAAAATGATGTTTTACCTCGTATCGTCATCTGACGGAGGAGGGAATGGGGCCTGAAACGGCCCAACTTGTGGGGGAGGAACAGGCGGCTGTGAACGAGACGGAGCGAGATAAGCATTTTGTAAGACCCCTTGCATATAAGAATGTCCATTTGCATTCGAAACGAGTAGCTGATTACGACGACCATTTTCGGGGGCTGAAGATAATCGTTTCAGTGCTCACATTTTGAATTTTTGGGGTAAACTGTGCTGGAAACGAATTGTGCATCAACTACGCTGAAAACGATTGGCTTCTTTCCTATAAAATAATGTTTTTAGGCGAACCCTTCATTTGGTCTGAAAGTTCAACCCTTTTCAGAGACTAAAGATTCCACCAAACGTTAGGATTGGGGGGAGGGAGGGGGTGGGAGGGGGAGGAGTAAAACTAGTAAGGCGAATTCGCCATACGAAAATTCTTGATCTTACTAACTATACCAACGTTCGGTGGAATCTTTGGTTATTGAAGAAGATGAAACGGTCGAAACGTCAAGCCAAATAAGGGTTTTATCAAACCCCGTTTGACAGAAGAAGAAAGCTAACTGGACAACATGTCAAGGTTCCAGCACGGAATAACATAGACATTCTGCTATGGCTAATGATTGTTCACCTAGAAGTTCATCAGGAGTCATTGCAGGAGCACCTGGTTCCTCCTTGGAGCAAGCAGCGTCATCTTCCATAGTTACGCAAACATAACAAGATGGGTATAACATTCGAATACCATCTATTTCAACAGGTACCATTCGCGGAATTCCCTCCTCCTGAAATAGTTTAATATAATTGCAGAGAAAGGTACCGCTCTAGTCTCCGAAACTCTGGCCAGATTTTCCCGAATTTTTCCTCAAGAGCAGATTCGGATGAAAAATTGTTTTCAGGGGTATCTCAACCTACGAAACACTATCATATACGCTTGGCCCGAAAAGGCCTGGCACCCACGTTAAAACATAATAATCTAAACTACAAAACCGGCTGAATTCGTTGCTAGAGGTAGTTTGACCTCCTGATTGCGAATATTACACCTGCTAGGCTCAAAACCGTCCAGAGTGTGCGCTACACGCGCCGGAGTCAAAAAAAGCATAAACTGCCGTCGTCTTTAACGTGGGCAGTAAGCCGTCTTGTGCAAAGCGGATGTTATCTTCATGTCCGGTATACCAAAGTAAACCCGGGGACAAATTTTTGGCCAAACGTACCCACATGTACCCGCAGGAGGGGGTCGTTAAAAGCTGGCCTGATTTCAGAAGATTGGGCAGTCAAGAATAAATAATGCCGAAAATTCAGTTCTCGATTGCTTTCAGACAAGAAGACTGACCTGATTTTCCTCTTCGGTGTCGTCAAAATCTCGCACCAAAGGCGCAACAAATTCTCGCCATTCTTCCCATTGTTTCTCAGCACTAGGTTGATTTCGTCCCACCTCACTACCTCGCGGCAAGAGAACAGCATGAAGTGACCAAGGCCCAACAACTACCTGCACTCTTTGTCCGCTCTCAAGATGTCTGAAATAAGCAAACCATGGCAGTAACAAGTACCACAAACCAGTGTACAAGACTTATTCATCAATACATTGAAACAAATTAAAGGACAATTTTTCAAAAGTCATTTTAAGCGCTCAAAGGCACACCCCGCTTTTAAAAACGGTTTTTTGTGCGGCTCAAACAATGGTGACAATATGGTAAACAGCGCAATCAAAAACAAGCACTAAAACCCGAAGGAAACGCCCGATATAGCACCGAATGCTGGAACGCGCCTGTACTTGCATAAAACGACGGCGTGGTTAGACGAGTTCGCACTTGTTGGTACCAGCTCTTTCTCCTTATCACCTCACTCACCACTCGAGTCAGAGAAAGTTAGCAGGGAACAACCGCACCATCAGTCAATCACTAAAAATGAAAGTTGGGCGACCAATGGGCAGAGCTGCTGTTTAGCCCCGATTGGGTGGTGTTTCTGTAATGTATCGAGATGCGAAAATATTAGGTCATCCCATTCAAAGTGGCCGACACATATAGAGGAATGGCAGAAAAGCAAAGGGGATAGAGCAGCGGGCTACTATACCATTTGGAAGCTAGTACCTTAAGCTGTGTATCTGTGAAATTTGGCGAACCTAGCCTCTGAAGAAGTTCTCGAGAAATTGAAGAGAAGCCCGAGTGGTGAAAATCGGCGCCGGTTTTTCAAATCAGACGTCATAAAAGGAAAGTGCGCTGCTCAAATTTGACCTGCGCCGGACCATAGTTGTGTGTAAGGGTGTTCTCGAAATACACGGTGGAAGATTTGGTTCAGGAGCCCGTACAAGGAAGAAAGGAAAAAATTTGTTGTCGTGGATGGTCCCATAATATTCATCCTGCACAAGAAAAACGGGTGGATGAAGTCAGGCACTGAATATCTGATCACAGAGCCTGGACCCTTGTCGAGCTTCCCCGCGAGTCTGACATCCCAGCTGCAACTGCTGCCCGAGTTATGTCCGATAAACGGAGGATGGTCAAGAGGGTGGCGCATGGGTACCCAATTTTCTTATAGAAGCACGAACGCAGTACCGATTCTATACCTCTAGCAGTAATGTTCTCAGCATGAGATGTCACTCACAACTGTGAAAACGCACCCAGGCCTTAGATGAAATATGGGTGGTCTCGGACCTCGAGCCGAAACTCACAATCGTCAATTTTGTATGAATGCAGATGAGAAGCCGCCCGAGTTCTACCATGAAGAGTTACGTGGGCGCAAGTGGATGATCATCATAGCAAAGGATTCCCACACTGTGGCTTTCAAGCGGCTCTATACAGAGAACAAATCCGTCACTGTCGGTGCATATTGCCTGTTCCTCGGCATTCAGATCGACAAATGGATGCTACCACACAACTACAAGAAGGCCACCGTTGCTCGTCATAGTGCCAGACCCAACTGTATTGTAGATCAGTGCTGGGACACAAACAATACTGAGACCTGAGGTTCAATCGTCCCATTCGCCCGTCATAAAGCCATGCGATTACAACTGTTCTATTCAGTAGAGAGTACTCTCCGACGGCAGACGCTACAATGTTTTGTCATTTGCCGAAATTGGCAACAACAGCAATTTACCCACACTTGTTGAAAAATCGAAGGTACCAGAGGTCCAAAGGCCCTCGGGGAGCGGGTCATTGGTGAAGGAGGGATTTACTCATCCTAAAGCTAAAATATCACTTTTCTATCTATTCTCCTCTTTGTTTTATTCAAAAAAAACCATCGGCCACTTTGAATGGGATGACCTAATAGTACACCCTCCTTCTATAGGGGGGGGGGCATAATACCCAATGGAAGCGTCTGAACATCAAATGACCGCGGAGTGTGCTAATCCGCAGTCACTGCTGGGCATATTCAATCCATGAAAGCAACGCTCTTGCATAAAAAAATTCCACGGAATTTGTTGAAAAATCCAGTTTTTGATTTTAGTCGAGTTTGTTTTGGTGCTACATCGTTCAAATAAAAAGAAACAAACAAAATTATAGCTAACCGCTTCGACAGCCGTAGTAACGGAGGTTGTCGCTGGGCGTTTACCGTCATGCAAACCGTATTACCTCCGTGAACAAAGAATTGAACATTGGTGGCCAAGATGTAACTGCAATTGAGATATACCAATTCAGACTTTCATAGCGAGTTGATTGCGATGATAAAACTTACCGCGGAAGGAGATGTTGTCGCCCAGGAAGAGGCTCACGCAGTGGTCGAGTAAACCACCTGCCAAAGCGAACAAATCCGTCACGGGCCATACTTCGCTCAATCATCGTGTGCAGCGCTTGAAACAGCAACACTCGCACCTCATAATTTATCCCGTTTGCAGCCGTGCCGACCCCGTTCTCGTCCGCATCTGGAAAAAAAACATGTTTGCTTTCAATAGAACCAAACTTGGAGTAGTACCAGACAGCCATGGCACATAATAACTAAAAACTTCGGAGTCAAAGAATATGACCACTTTGAGGCTGCGCTCATACTTTGCGTCAGCGTTTTAAGCGACTGTTCGCGGAAAGTTCAAAGCTACACGCGAAACGCTCAAAACGCTGGATTGATACATACACTTCAAAGCAGCTCTTGTGCGAAGGCGGACGCTAGATCCAAACGCTCAAAACACTGACGCGAGATGTATGAATGTAGTCTTAATATAAAATAATCAATGAAAGAGAAAAAACTACTGAATTTCATGAATTGGTCTAAAAGGGAAATCGGAAGAACTCACCGAGATGTGAAGTGTTAACAGAGAGTTTCTCCGGAGGTTCATTTGAATACCAGAACAACCAAAGCTCCTTGGAAATTTCATTTGTGAACGATGGCAAAGGAAGTGGTTCTGGTTGTGAGGACATTTGCAATGGTTTTCGCCGCCAAGTGCAAAGCAACCCGTCCTAAAAATGCATAGAATCAATAAAGTCATAGAAATATTACAAAATCAGCATAGCGTACGACTTGGGAACGTTCAACGCTAACACTGTAAACAGCTGTAACCCACCCGCAAGCATTTCCCGTATGCTTTCAGAATGGGATCGCACTGGATGGGAACACCACGAGGTGAATTTGATGGAGTTAAAAAACACCGCCATTTCAGACCGTTCAATTCCGTCTGCAAGCATCAACATAATCTTCATTAAGTAAGGAGCACCAAAACTATGTAAAAAAAATTCAAAAAATATGTATTCACAACATACCAAGGCGTAGACGTTGGAGAAGCAGTCCTCCAAGCTACCACCGTTCATCGCCATAATGGCGCCTCAGTGTGAAAGAATCAACGAGAACTACACAAGAACCTGGAAAAAATTTAAAATGCGGATTTACGCGATTCAGTTATAGGCAGCTCTAACAGATAACCAAAGCATTCAATGTCGACACTAAAGAAAGGATTTTTAAAAAAATGAGCACTAAATAAAAAAAAGAAAATTCAAAAACAGGGCTCTTCCAGTGAACAAAGCACTCTTTGAGTAGAGATATCGTTAGGGGTTTTGAGCGTCGATCGTTTTGAGCGTTGATAGTCGCCACAACTTAGTCCATAAGACATTTACAAGTCAGAATAAAAAAAAGTAGATGACAAACGAATGAGCCTCCACGTCAAAAACTTTTGCTATCTGACAAAAAAACGATCCACCTAATAAGCTACCCAATTTTTCTTTTTACTGCCCTTCCCACATAAGTAATTGATTTCGACTATTCCAACGAATATCCTTCTTTTTCATGCACAAACTCGTAGTGCAGAATCTTCAGTAAGCATTGTTAGGAAGGGGGGGGGGGGGAGAGGATTCGACCGCGCATCTGTATCTCTCCCCTGAACAGTCCAGTTTAGGAATGCAGATGACCAGAATTGCCAAAGTATAGTGCCGCTGAGAAGAGACAGTCTCCAGTAAGCCCAAACCTTGATTAACGGAAGGGATACGAAGGCTTTAGTGAGTGATCCCCAGTCTACGTTGGCACCAAACCTTCTTGCCTACGTAGGTCTACATACAATCACTCAAGAACCATTAAAAATGACACTATTAAAAGCAGCTACGAGAGTAGAAAGGGAGCAGTAACATAAGGACTTTCCTAAGGATAGCTAAGGAGGTTAAATCGAGAAAGTAACTAGTAATATAGGACCTGTAATCGGCATCGGGAGTTGTGTGTCAAAGATATGGCGTGATGGTGGAATAAAATGCTAATAGGGAAAGTCTCCAGAGCACTGGAATATGTATATTAGTTTCTGGACCAAATCCCTTGGGAATGACGGCTAGTTCGAGAGCTAGTTTGAAAAAAAGATAATTGCCACAACAAACGGTTTTGGAGTAACTCTGCTACTTTCCGCTATTGGGCAGACTTTGCGAATTCGATCACGGCCCTGCTCCAAGAAATCACGAAGGAGAAAACCACTAAATTTGCACACAAACGACATTAAACGAGCTTCTTTACGAGAAAACCACGCTTCGGTGGGAATGTTCTTGCGCCTGCCACTGATTTTCAATCTCATTCATGTGACAGAGCATTCATTTCACGGCAGTACTGTCATTATGTACTTGTGTGCAGAAGCAGTAATGATTTGTAATCACCACGACACCTGTTGTCAGCCTCGCAAGGTTCACGCAAAATCCATGATGGAAAACAAAATTTTAGAAAACACTGAAGTAACAAGATGGGAACAGACAGTTTTATAAGTGCAGCCTAAGTAGCACTACTCGAGGTAGGGCGATATCGTAGCTGAGAGAAATGGAACCACTCGCCAGTGCCTCGGTATCCTTTGCCTAGTCATGGTTAGGCCTAGAACAGACTTTATTTTCTCTGCGGGACCAGTCCTTGGCAACACTGGTAGACTGCGCTCTGGGCCTGAGCGTTCCGGAGAAGCAGGATGTAGAGTGCCCCCCCCCCCCTAAGCCACTGAGCGCCAACGCCGACGTGTTGCTCATTCCACTAATCATGAATTTTCACCACATACTACCAATTTTCCGGCGTTTTTTTTTCACAAAAAAAACTCCACGGTCAAATAGGTTTTTACAGGGTGGAAAAGAAAAAAAAACACAAAAGTCAATAACCGAAAATATTTTCCAAAGCAAATACGACCCACCTCGCTCCCAGTGTAACGTGCACTAAGGCAAAGCAACAGAACTAAATGCCTGAGAATCTTAAGTAATTTGAAGAAAAAAAGTTGAATTATAAGTGGGTTGAAAATGAAACATCTGGAACCCAAAAATCACTGCCCCTACCCCTCCCCATGCCCCATCATTCCAGATCAGAGCACGTCGTACGTTGAGATTCCCAGCATGGAGGGGTCTTTCTGGTCGATTGAGGGAGAAAGTGATCGTACTTATCTTTGCAAAAAATTGGTAGTTGACTCCTCTCAGTTTTCCCGTTTATGTCCCTCGATTACTTTTTTGGAGGAAGAGAATTTCTTGAAACGAAGTTCCAGGAACAGTGGTAGGAAGCTGGAAATCAGGAGAATGGTCGAGAGGATAGGGAAAGGAGGGGGGGGGGGGTGCTGCACCAGAGGAGAAAACCCTGTGAGGTTGCATTTCTCGAAATTTTTGCCCGCGCCAAAATATCTCACGGTCATATTTTTGATTAATGACCAGCCCTTAAAAAGAAGTCTTAACATGTTCAAAACTCCTCGTTATTTTATGAGACCGCAACAATGGTATGTCGTACGCTGGGGCTCCCAAGGTGGGGGGGGGTCGTATGTGGCAGCTGGATGGAGGGGAGGTCACATTCGCCCCAGATAAAAAGGTTGTTTGCCGGCTTTCTTCGTTTTTTTTTCCTGTTTAGTGTGCGGCCACATAACCCCTCCCTGTCTCGATGGCAGCTTGAGATGAAAAATGAGATAACAGGGAGATTGTAGGCAGAATGGGATAGGGGACGTACCGCAGGAGGAAACTTTGAAGAGGGCTCGCACTTTGGCGTACTTGCCCTGACTGCAAATCAAAAGAATTTCCGTACAGGGGTGAACAGGCTCGAAAAGGTGTTGGGGCAAGTGAACACCTATAACGGTATCGAATTCTCGCAAAAAACTTTCAAAAAACGACAACTGATAATCAAACCCGTTTGTAGTAGTATGAAGGTTTTCATATGGTTAAGGACAACAAAGTTGTTTCGGCGACTAATATCCAAAAATTGGGCGCAGTTCGGCGATGGGGGGGGGCTGCATTTTGCACTTAAGCTTTCACTAGTTAGTTACAAGTCTCACCCTGGTGAAACCTGTGAACTCGTGTGAAGCTGGAGTAAACTCGTCCACTAAGCCACCATTGTAAATGGTATTCGTATGGTACTTAATTGCTTTGCAAGAGTTAACATGTATGTACTTTTTACAAGGGTTGACAGGCGGCCTCCACACACTTTGGCTCTTGTCGTTTCGTGGCTTTAAAGGATTTTACAGATCTCATTTGATAGTTCGACACGTCTAAGGAAAGTAACAGACGTGCTAAATGCCCCTTCCCCGTCCCTGAGTCCCCAAACAGCGAAAAAAAAACTGCACACGACTCACGGTTATTTAAAAAAACTCACCTTGACAGTCTTCATATGAATCAAACGCTATCCAAAGCCTGATGGTCAGCAACAAATCCTTCAGTCACAACAATTTTCTCCAGGATATAGAGGCGAAATGAATAGAAAGATGATCGCCGGGGCGTATAAAATGCTGACTGTTGACACTGCAAAGAATGAAACCACAGTGCTGTGAAGCGCATGACAAGAGGCATAAAACACGTGCGAGAACAACGACAACGACGACAAGGAGGGGGCATCAGATGGCGTGAAATGGAGGTGAACAACGTCTTCCGACGTATGTCCCCACACACCTTCCGGGCCAATCAATAGGGATACTCGAATTGGTTAAAGATGCGAATCGCGCTATGTGTGGGCCTCGCGTTCGGGGGTATCGCCGCGAGATTGGCGGGCGGATGCACGCGACGCGACAGGCACGCGACGCGGTCGATCAATCAGCGCCGCAAGACGCCGACGGGCGCGGATCGTCGACGTCGCGGCGAATGCGATCGCGGCGACCACGGCGACCGCCGCTCGCTCCACCGTCTCTCCGCCTGTTTCGTCCCTCTACCTGGCCCGGACTCTCTCCCAAAGATCACAGATCGTGCTCTGCTTCTCCGACTTGGGGCTCATCGTTCTTTAGCCCATCGTTGCAACTCTACACTATTTGACTTACAGCTGTCTCTCGTCCTGTTCGGGGCAAGATTATTTCGTCCTTATGCATGGGATCTCGCCTGAACACTGGTCAACGGAAAAAATCGATCCCAGCCAGACGTCCTGTCGATAGGGTGCCCAAATAATGACCGCCAGCTCTCTGCCACCAAGGTTTTTTAATTGTAAACCTCAGATCATTGGTCGGATCGGCATCTCTTCTCCATTCTTATCGATCATGTTATATTGCAGTTTCTCCTTGTCGGCCCCAGATGGTCCCAGTTAGGAAAAATGGGCGCAGTTCGGCGACAGGCTTTGCACTTTCGGTGCTTCACTAGTTCCGGTTTACAAGTCCAACTCTGTGAACTCTTGTGAAGCTGGAGCAAGCTCGTCGAGCCACCATAGGTATAAACCTGTCAACCCTTGTAAGCTCATGAAACAGCTCTCTAGGTGGTACGACACGTTGGTGGGAAGTGGCAAAAGTGCGAAATGCCTCCCTCGTCGCCGAACTGTCCCGAAAATGGATGGAGCCATGCTAAGAATGATACCATATCTAGACCTTTTGTGGTGCAAGTCGGCTGAGGGGTGAAGGGGTTTTTTGATCCTTGTCAGTGTGCAGGTATATATCGTAAAGAGATCACAGATCGCGCTCTGCTTCTCCGACCTGGGGCTTATCGTTCTTTAGCGTTGCAACTCTATACTTTTTGGCTTACATCTGTCTCTCGTCCTGTCCGGGGCAAGATTATATTCGTCCTCATGCATGGGATCTCGCCTGAACACTGGTCAACGGAAAAAATCGATCCCAGCCAGACGTCCTGTCGATAGGGTGCCCAAACAATGACCGCCAGCTCTCTGCCACCAAGGTTTTTTAATTGTAAACCTCAGATCATTGGTCGGATCGGCATCTCTTCTCCATTCTTATCGATCATGTTTTAGTTGCAGTTTCTCCTTGTCGGCCCCTGATGGTCCTGGTAAGGAAAAGTGGGCACAGTTCGGCGACAGGGGAAGAGAGGCGGTGTGGGGGGGAGGGCATTTTGCACTTTCGCTGCTTCACTAGTTCCGGTTTACAAGTCCAAAACCTGTGAACTCTTGTGAAGCTGGAGCAAGCTCGTCGAGC